ATTTACTTTAGCGATTACTTCCTTGGTGAAGTAAGAGCTCTGATTAATCATTCTGTCAACCGGATCTAATCCGAGGCGGTCCACGGATAAACCCTGGCACATGCAAAGATCCCACGCAAACAGAAATTAATAAATAGGATCTGTGTGTTGTTTAACAAAGTTATAATCTTTTATTTTTTATTGTGTAAGAAGATCTTATAAAAATATCAACTTTTCCATTTTGTAAACTTGTAATCGATAAACGATTGTAACAGGTTCAGTGGAAATAAAAAAAGACAACTTTTAAACCAAACAGATTTATACTAAGAAAGTTTGAGGTTTTTGCGAGGTTGAGAGTGAAGATTGCGGGAATGAGAGAATGTGGAAGGTTTATTGGAAAAGATAGTAAAAGTAATGAAAATTGTTTAGTGTAGAATTAGAGGCGAAGGCGACGAAGCTTAGGAAAATTAAAGCAGAAAACTTTTTGAATGTTTCACGGTCGACTGCGAGTGGCGCTGCAGTCGATCGCGAACGTGCACATAGCTTGGAGAAGTCTCTGAACTTTTCACGGTCGATCGCGAGTGGGTTCACGGTCGACCGCGATACCCTGTAGTGTATTTTTATTCTCTGTCGTTGGCCACGGTCGACCGCGACTGGCTCGACGGTCGTCCGCGTTGCGGTTTTGGGCATGGGCTTGGTTTCCTGTTCTGTTTGGATTTCCTGTTTATATAAATAGGAACATGATTTGTTTAGGGTTTATTGGATCATATTGATCACTTTTGGGGTAGATATAAATAGGAACATGATTTGTTTAGGGTTTATTGGATCATATTGATCACTTTTGGGGTAGCTTGAAGGAGATTTTGAGCACAGAAAAGAGTTTATTGGATCATATTGATCACTTTTGGGGTAGCTTGAAGGAGATTTTGAGCACAGAAAAGAGAGTTTTTTTCTGAGCAATTTATTTGAGGGTTTAGTTTATGAGATTTGAGAGATTTGTTTGAGAGGTTAGCTGAGTGATCTTGTAATCTCTATTTTATACTTTCTTTCTCTATAGTGAAAACCTATCATCTTCTTGCCCCGTGGACGTAGGCAATTTGTCGAACCACGTTAAACTTTTGTGTTTGAGTTTGTGTCGTTATTTTGGATTGTTTTTGGCTTTCTCTCTCGGTGTTTGAGTTCGTTCCGCCGTGCACAACAAGCGGTATCAGAGCACAATAAGTGGTATTAGAGCTCGGGCTATGCTTGGGCTATTTAGAGGAGTAGATCGCTTTGGAAGTTCGTCTAGGGCTTCAATTAGAAGTTAAAGGTGAGATCTTTTTGGTAAAAATGCTATCTTTTCTCAGTTTTGGATCTATTCTTCAGTTTATTCCATATTGATTGTTTGTGTGTTGAGGAAGATGACTGGGAAAGAAGGTACTTCGGGTGTTAAGGGTGGTTCTTCTAGCGTGAAGACCATTCAAAATTTGAATATCCACTCTACGAAGATAGATGTGGAGAAGTTTAATGGCACGAACAATTTTAGATTATGGAGATGTGAGGTTTTGGATGCGCTGACTGCATAAAATTTGGAGGATACTTTGGAATTGGATGGCAAGCCAGATGATATTGAAGAGAAGGTTTGGAAGAAGATGAATCGAACAACGTGTGATGTTATTAGGTCTTGTCTAATACAAGATTTAAAGTATGATGTAATGAATGAGACTTCAGCTAAGAAGATTTGAGAGACCCTTGAGAGCAAGTATTTGACCAAGAGTGTGAAAAATCCCCGCATTTAAAGAAGAGACTTTATCGCTTCCAATTGAAGAAGGGAACCTCCATTAGTGATCACATGAACCACTACACGAAGCTTCTTGCGGATTTGGCGAATGTGGATGTTATGATAGAGGATGAGGATAAAGCTTTGTTGTTGTTGAGTTCCTTACCAGATGAGGAATATGAGACCTTTGTTCTTATCCTAATTAATGAGAATGTGTCCCTTTCGTATAGTGATGTCACCGTTGCTCTTGTGAATCATCAACTTCGAAAGAAAGATAAGGAGTCTACAAGTGACACAGCAACAGAGGCATTGATTGTAAGAGGGAAGAATCCAAACCGAAAGAATTGGAAGTCACAGTCTAGAGTAGGGCATCCTACAGTTGACAAAGATCAATGTGCTTGGTGTAAAGAGACTGGTCATTGGATGAAAGATTATCCAAAGCTCAGTGAATGATGAAGAACAAGCAGAAGGGAAAGGAAAAGCAACCATCATCAGAAGCAAACATCATTATATCGGATGGTAATCTTTCTGACTCAACTGTTTATTTGCTTTCTATCAGTCCCACAGGTTACTATTCGGAGGAATCCGAGTGGATGTTAGATAGTGGTGCGATCTATCATGTATACCCTAGAAGGGAATGATTTGCCAGTTTTGAGAAGCTGGAGAGTGGTATGGTGTACATGGGTGACGACCGTGCATGTCAGATCCTTGAGATAGGAAGAATTCACATCAAGATGTATGACGGGAAAGTTAGAGAGTTACATGGTATGAGATATGTTCCTTCTTTGAGGAAGAAATTGATCTCGATTGGAGCTTTCGTTGGAGAGAGTTTTAGAGTTTGTATCGAGGACATGATTCTCGAGATTGTGGAAGACTTTCGTATTTTGATGAATGGCGTCAGGAAGAATAACATGTACTATTTGATTAGGAATACGGTGACAGGTGAAGAGCTGGCGACTTCTATTGATTCGACTAGACTGCGACATTTGGGGCTTTGTCATTCCATATTGATTTAGAGATGAGTGCACAGACCTGCAATTTGAAGTCCAGTGAACACTTTGATGTGAGTAAGAAGACCGAGGTGAAGTTTGGCACCTCTATTCACCGCATGAAGGGTCTTTTCGATGGAGTTCACTGTTCACGTGGGCATTTGGGGGCCTTCCAAGGAGGCATCATTGGGAGATAATAGATGTTTGGTTTCCTTTGTTGGTGGTTGTTCTAGGCATAATTAGGTTGCAACCAAATCTCGATTGGAGAAAGTCCTAGTAGTCTTCAACAGATTGAAGAAGTGTGAGATTGGCAGAAAGGTGAAGATACTTCATTCTGATTTTGGTGGGAGGTACAAGAGGGACCTGTTTCTGCATTTGAGGCAAGCTCATGATATTTCGAGACACTTCATTGGAAAGAAAATCTTGGGGCAACTAGATGGGGTGGAAAATTTGGAGAATCATGCCTTGCTAGAGGAGGATCGGTGGTGTTTGTGGTCAAGCAATGGTTTGTAGAAGAGTTTCTGGACTGAGGCTTCGACATATTCGAGTTACCTTATTAAAGGGTTGCCGACTGATGCGATTGGAGGTAAAACTCCATTGGATGTTTGGTCTGGTAGTGTCACTTCGGTTGAGGCTTCGATGAGGGAGCTAATTGACTCTCAGCAGGTGGAGAGTTTTGGACAGACCTTAGATGTATCACAGCGGGTGGAGAGTGATGCTACTCCATATTAGGTGGAGATTACTCTACATACTCCAGATCATACTGCATCGTTTGGGATTCCAGCTGAGGTGACACAATTAGGGGATCATTTGGATTTGGGTGCAGATGATGAGTTGGTTGATTTGAATGTAGCTGGTGGATATGATTTGTATACGGCCATTGATTCACCTCAGGTGGAGGTGTTTGATTTGTTTCACTTTGGCGTCAGTTAGAGAACTATAAGTTGCATATTTGTTGGTGAAGAGTTGAAAACTTTTCTATTTGATTGAGGACCTTTGGAGGTCATTTGGGGGAACTACGTGAAGGCTTGATTCCTTTGGTAAGAGGATACGTAGGCAGTCAGTTTTGATACAGTCGATTTGATGGGTAGATACCGACATTTGGAGAGTGTTCGCATTCTCATTTGGGTCTCGACTTGTTATGGATGGAGTCCGTTGTGATTTTGTTTCACTTCGTACTGGACGTAACAAGTGAGATATTTAGTTTGGTTGGTGTCGGCTCAGTTTTGGGAAAACTTCACCGAGATGGAGAATTGTAGAATTGGAGGCGAAGGCGACGAAACTCAGGAAAATTAAAGCAGAAAATATTTTGGATGTTTCACGGTCGACCGCGAGTGGCGCTGCGGTCGACCGCGAACGTGCACATAGTCTGGAAAAGTCTCTGGACTTTTCACGGTCGACTGCGAGTGGATTCACGGTCGACCACGATACCCTGTAGTGCAATTTTGTTCTTTGTCGGTTGTCACGGTCGACTGCGACTGGCTCGGCGGTCGACCACGATGCAGTTTTGGGCCTGGGCTTGGTTTCCTGTTCTGTTTGGGTTTCCTGTTTATATAAATAGGAACACGATTTGTTTAGGGTTTATTAGATCTCATATTGATCACTTTTGGGGTAGCTTGAAGGAGATTTTGAGCACAGAAAATAGAGTTTTTTCTGAGCAATTTGTTTGAGGGTTTAGTTTGTGAGATTAATTGAGAGATTTGTTTGCGAGGTTAGTTAAGTGATCTTGTAATCTCTATTTTGTACTCTCTTTCTCTATAGTGAAAACCCATCCTCTTCTTGCCCCGTGGACGTAGGCAATTTGCCGAACCATGTTAAACTTTTTTGTTTGGGTTTGTGTCGTTATTTTGGATTGTTTTTAGCTTTCTCTCTCGGTGTTTGAGTTCGTTCCGCCACGTACAACAAGTCTATCAGAGAACAACATTTAGGCACTATTTATTCTTCATGTTAGCATCATTTATTCAAATTTTAAATAGTGTAGGAGGATTTCGTATGATTTGGAAGTTCAGATGGTTTTCTTGATATAACGTATACGAGTTTTGTGTAAACCACGCCAAATTTTGAAGTTCATATGGTTTTTTGATATAACATATGATTTGGAAGTTCAGATGGTTTTCTTGATATAACGTATACGAGTTTTGTGTAAACCACACCAAATTTGAAGTTCAGATGGTTTTCTTGATATAACGTATGATTTGGAAGTTCAGATGGTTTTCTTGATATAACGTATACGAGTTTTGTGTAAACCACACCAAATTTGAAGGGTTTTTTATTATTTAAAAAAAAATAATTATTGACTTCTTGAGCAGCCAGCAATCCTAGCGACTTCTTGCTAGATTCAAAACTACAGATCTCGATCCTTCGAAACGGAAAAAAACGGAGCCATGCCCTCTTGCATAATTATCCCCGAGATGTTCTTGCCACTCCTCGCCACTTTCCTCCTCTAGCTCCTCTACTGCACTACTAAACGCCGAACCAACGTCGTCAAGAACTGGCCGATCGTCGGCATGCTTCCGACGATCATCACCAACAACAATCGCCTCCTGGACCACTTGACGTCCGTCCTCCGAGAATTCAACGACACCCTCATGTTCAAAGGCCCATGGTTCTGTGGGATGGACTATCTGCTAACCTGCAGCCCTGACAATGCCAACCATATGTTCAATCATCACTTCTCCAACTACCCAAAGGGCAAACTGTTCAACGAGGTGTTCGAGCTTTTAGGCGACGGGATCTTTAATGTCGACGGAGACAAGTGGATGGATCAGAGAAGAATGGCCCAGATACATATGAAAACATCAAGCTTCCGCTCGTCCATAGAGGAGTGCACCAGAGACAAGGTGTCGAAGGTGCTGCTTCCCCTGCTGAATAAGATGGCGGGATCTGGTAAGGTGGTCGACGTGAACGAGGTGCTCACGAGATTCACATTCGACACCACTTGTAAGCTGGTCATGGGAGTGGATCCCGGTTGTCTTGCTTCTGAATTTCCAGGCATTCCGTTCGCGAAAGCTGTGGACGAGATCGAGCAGGCATTGGTAGTCAGGTACATAGTGCCGACGTTTTGGTGGAAGTTACAAAGGCGTTTTCGTTTGGGAAGAGAGAAGAAGGTAGCGGAGGACGAGGAGGTGATTGAGAGTTTCATCGCGCAATGTATCCGAGAGAAGAGAGCAAGTGTTAAAGATAACAACCAACAAGTATGCGGGGACTTGATGACGCCGTACATGGACCACGACGACAAGTTCCTGCGAGACACGCTGTTGAATTTCCTAGTTGCAGGAAAGGATACTATAGGAGCCGCGCTTGTCTGGTTGTTCTGGCTACTCACCAACAACCCCGATGTCGAGAATAAGATACTGGAAGAGCTTAGGAGGGGTCGACCCTCCTCTAAGGTCAGCGACGACGAAATGATTGTATTCAACTCTGAGGAAATCGAAGGGCTGGTCATTTGCACGCAGCCTTGTGCGAAGCGTTTAGGCTTTACCCTCCTGTGGCATTCAGCCAAAAGCAAGCGAAGAAGGATGATGTCTTACCGAGTGGACATCAAGTTCGCGCAGGATCAAAGGTTATCTTCTCCATGTATTCGATGGGGAGAATGGAGACAATATGGGGAAAGGACTGCTTGGAGTTCAAGCCTGAGAGATGGATCACGGCGAAGGGGACACTGAAGCAGGAGCCTTCGTACAAGTTCATCGCGTTCCACTCTGGACCGAGGACTTGTTTGGGGAAGAACATGACCATCACTCAGATGAAATTGATCGCCACTGCGATGATATACAACTTCAGCGTGCGGCTGGTCGAAGGCCATGTCGTCGTGCCTAAGATTTCGATCGTTATTAAGCCGGCGAATGGGTTGTTAGTTAAGTTGAAGAAGAGAGTGTTGGATTTAATCTAATAAATTTATTTGTGGGCACATATGATTAATCAATGTGTATTGCTATCTTTCAGGATAACCCACTAAAGTGATTAATTAAGTTGAGTTAATTCGGTATTTAAATAAGTCATGGGGTTATATGTGCAGATACCAGGTTGTAATTGTGATTTATTGAGGGGCTAAATTACAAAAATACAACATCTATAAATAAGGGGTTATGGTCCCTAACCTAGGGTTACATTCTCTAATTCTCTTCACCACCATCTTGAGAGAAATTCGGCTAGAGAGAACCCTAAGGTTAGAAGATCAAAACTCATCTCAAGATCAAGCAATGGATTCAGGTATAAGCTTCCACTCTTTTAGATTCTTGTTAATCTCTTTGAATAATCATGGCTATATGGTTTTAGATTTCAAGTTTTGATTTAGATTTAACAAGTGGTATCAGAGTCACCTTGATTAATTCTTAGAGATTTAAGTTTTATTGGATTTTTTGATCTTAAATCTCTAGTTAAAGATTCAGTTTTGTTCTCGGATGAACAGTAATGTTCAGTAATGTTCGGATGAACAGTAACGAAAATTTTTTGGATGAACAGTAAATGTTTTTCGGATGAACAGTAACTAAAAAATCACCGGTGAACAGTAACTTTTTGGGATTTTTCTTTGATTTTTTCTTTAATTTTTTCCAATTCTGGATCTATTTTGAAAATAAAAATCAAAGATTTTTGGGTTTGTCGGCGGCGGTTTCAATTTGAAACCCTAAGGGTTCGTGCGTGCGTGAAACGTGGCGAACATTAAGGAGGTGGTTACCTCAAATTTTGGCGAAGCGGTAAGCTTCAAACGAACCTCGCGTTCGTTCAATTTAACCGAGCTTCGCGCTCAACGAACCTCGCGTTCGTTCTAAGGTGAACCTCGCGTTCAACTCAGGTGAGCGTCAAGCTCAATTTCAACGAACCTCGCGTTCGTTCTAAGGTGAACCTCGCGTTCAACTCAGGTGAGCGTCAAGCTTAATTTTTAACGAACCTCGCGTTCGTGCTTCAGACGAACCTCGCGTTCGTGCTTCAGTCGAACCTCGCGTTCGTGCTACAGTCGAACCTCGCGTTCGTGCTTCAGTCGAACGTCGCGTTCGTGCTTCAGTCGAACCTCGCGTTCATCCTTCTTTTTAACGAACCTCGCGTTCGTTCACGAACCTCGCGTTCATTTTTTTAACGGACCTCGCGTTCGTTCTCAAACGAACCTCGCGTTCGTACTTAAGTGAGTCTCGTACTCAATACAGTCGAACCTCGCGTTCGAAGTTATGGGAACTTCGTGTTCATTATGGTTAAGCCCCGGCTTTTCATGAGTCCACTTTGGTATACTTAATTTATTCAATTAAGTTATGGGCCCTAATTAAGCTGTGAGACCCCAATTAAATAATTTTTTTAATTTAAATCTAATTTGGTTTTTAATCAATTATTTAATTCAAATATTATGACACTAAGGTATTAAGGTTGTCTCTCACTCCAATTGATTAATTAAAATAAGAAGTTGTCAAAGTAACCTCTCTTGTGTAGATTGTTCATGAGGAATGTGAGATGTTTGTGTGTATGCTTTCGTGTAAATATTTAATCGGCCCAAAGGAAGGTTAATATTTATTTAGACTGTATACACATCTGCGATGATAAGCGTGTGACAATTATAAGGTTTACATGTGAATAATGAATCGATCCAAAGATAGTTTCATTATTTGACATGAGTTATTGTCAATGTTTGATCATTGCAATAAGGTATCACTTACAAGTTAATATTACTGTCCAAAGACTTGATATTAATGTTGTGCCGGTATCTTGGATGGGGATTGTCATTATTTGAATTTTATTGATTATGGTTATTGATGTGAGCATTTTTGTTTTATTTCAGCTAATGCATCTGCTGCAACAATTTCTGCTAACATCAACTCAATTCCCATGCTAAATGGGACAAACTTCAAGGTTTGGAAAGAGAACATATTAATTGTTCTTGGCTGCATGGATCTTGACTATGCATTAAGAACTGAACAACCCCAACCTCTCAATGCGGATAGCACTCCTGATGCAAAGAAGGAGCATGAGAAGTGGGAGCGTTCAAATCGCATGAGTCTTATGATCATTAAGCGCGGCGTTCCGGAAGCCTTCAGGGGCATAGAATCCGAAGGGATTACTAAGGCTAAAGATTTCCTTGCCGAAATTGAGAAGCGTTTTGCGAAAAACGATAAGGTAGAAACAAGCACGCTTTTAGCTCGCTTGATTTCAATGAAGTATAAGGGCAAAGGAAATATCAGGGAGTACATTATGGAAATGTCTCATATTGCTTCAAAGCTTAAGGCACTTAAACTCGATCTTTGTGACGAGTTATTAGTGCATCTGGTTTTGTTGTCTCTTCCTGCACAGTTTAACCAATTTAAGGTCAGTTATAACTGTCAAAAGGAGAAATGGACTCTAAATGAGCTCATTTCATACTGTGTGCAAGAAGAAGACAGGTTGAAGCAAGATAAGACAGAAAGTGCTCATTTGGCCTATGCCTCTAAGGATAAGGGCAAGAAAAGGAAGAATGATAAGGAAGCTGCTAAGGGTCCAGTTGAGAAGAAACAATATAAGGATAATCAGGGTTGTTTCTTCTATAAGAAGCCTGGACATGTAAAGAAGGACTGTACAAAATATCACGCCTGGCGTGATAATAAGGGTACGTTCCTTGCTTTGGTCTGTTCTGAGGTTAATTTAGCTTCAGTACCTAGAAACACTTGGTGGTTAGACTCTGGTGCTACTACTCACATAAGTGTTTCTATGCAGGGTTGCCTGAGCTACCGAAAGCCAAGTGATGTTAAAAGACACATCTTTATGGGCGACGGACAATCGGTAGATGTGGAAGCAATTGGGCACTTTAGGTTGTTGTTAGGAACTGGTTATTATTTGGATTTAAAAGATACTTTTGTAGTACCGTCTTTTAGACGGAATTTGGTTTCTGTTTCTGTATTGGACAAATCAGGTTATTCTTGTTCATTTGGAAACAGTCAATTCAGTTTATCTTTTAATTCAAATGTTGTGGGAACCGGTTACTTAAGCACTTATGACAACCTATATCTGCTCGATACAATTGCTTCTTATAATGAATCCTTGCATGTGGAATCATTTGCTTGATACAATTGCTTCTTATAATGAATCATTGCATGTGGAATCACGTGGTACTAAGCGTAAATTAAATAAGGAAAATTCGGCGACATTATGGCATAAGCGCTTAGGTCATATCTCAAAAGGTAGAGTTGAGCGTCTTGTGTCTGATCGCATTTTGGATTCCCTTGATTTTTCGGACTTCGACGTATGTGTTGAATGTATCAAGGGAAAGCAGACCAAAGTGAAGAGATTAGGTGCCAACAGATCTTCGGATGTCTTAGAATTGATACATACGGATATTTGTGGGCCATTCCCTACGGAATCCTGGAATGGTCAACAATATTTTATATCATTCATAGACGATTACTCACGTTATGGGCACCTATATCTTATTCATGAAAAATCTGAGTCTCTGGACATGTTCAAAGCCTATAAAGCTGAAGTTGAGAATCAACTCAACAGAAGAATTAAAACCGTCAGATCTGATCGTGGTGGTGAGTACTACGGTAGATATGATGGTTCAGGTGAACAACGTCCAGGACCATTTGCTAGATACCTAGAGGAATGCGGTATCGTCCCACAGTACACCATGCCGGGTTCACCTAGCATGAATGGTGTAGCTGAAAGACGAAATAGGACTCTTAAGGATATGGTAAGAAGTATGATTGCTCATTCTTCTTTACCAGAGTCACTCTGGGGAGAAGCACTTAAGACAGCAGCTTACATTCTGAATAGAGTACCAAGTAAAGCAGTTGCTAAAACACCTTATGAGCTTTGGACTGGTCGAAAGCCCAGTTTAAAGCATTTACATATTTGGGGATGTCCAGCTGAGGTAAGGCCTTATAGGCCAAATGAAAAGAAATTGGACTCCAAAACAGTTAGCAGCTACTTTATTAGGTACTCTGAATGCTCTAGGGGCTATAAGTTTTATGATCCACGAAACAGGACTCTTAAGGATATGGTAAGAAGTATGATTGCTCATTCTTCTTTACCAGAGTCACTCTGGGGAGAAGCACTTAAGACAGCAGCTTACATTCTGAATAGAGTACCAAGTAAAGCAGTTGCTAAAACACCTTATGAGCTTTGGACTGGTCGAAAGCCCAGTTTAAAGCATTTACATATTTGGGGATGTCCAGCTGAGGCAAGGCCTTATAGGCCAAATGAAAAGAAATTGGACTCCAAAACAGTTAGCAGCTACTTTATTGGGTACTCTGAATGCTCTAGGGGCTATAAGTTTTATGATCCCACTATAAGGAATATTTTTGAGACGGGAACAGCAACATTCTTTGAGGATGTTGAGTTTGAGGAGGAATTGGCTTCAGATCCAATCCATACAGTTACTTTTGACAATATTCAGGTTCCTATACCTGTTGTTGCTCAAGAAGTAAATCCGGAACCTCAAGATGATAATGTTGAACAACTCCCTGTTCCAGAAGAACAAACTCAACAACCTCAAGAACCAGTGCCATTAAGGAGATCCACGAGAGAAAGGAGAAATGCTATTCCGGATGATTATATTGTATTTCTCCAAGAACATGAGGAAAGTAGTGGAATGTTAGAAGATGATCCAATCAACTTCTATCAGGCCATGAAAAGTTCTAACTCTCAACAGTGGATTGATGCCATGAATGAAGAGTATAAGTCTATGCAAGACAATAAGGTTTGGGAACTTGTCCCATTGCCAGAAGGTGCAAAACCAATTGGTTGTAAATGGATTTTTAAAACCAAGCGGGATGCAAATGGTAATGTGGAGAGGTATAAGGCACGTCTTGTGGCTAAAGGCTATACTCAAAAGGAAGGCATTGATTATACAGAGACTTTCTCTCCGGTTTCATCGAAAGACTCTTTCAGAATAATCATGGCACTTGTTGCTCATTATGATCTTGAGTTATATCAGATGGATGTTAAGACTGTATTTCTCAATGGCGACATTGATGAGATGATCTATATGGTACAACCAGAAAACTTTGTGTTAGGAGACCCAAATAATATGGTTTGCAAATTAAGGAAATCCATCTATGGACTCAAGCAAGCTCC